ACTCACTGAAGTGCCTGCTGGGATGTGCCCAGCGGTCAGCGCCACCGCGGCCGCGTCGGTCGCGCCAAACTAGCTGGCCGCTGCGCACTCGAGCATGCGCGGGCTAGCGCGGCCGCAGAGATGCACCAGCCAACGCCAAGCATTCATCGCAATCGCCGCCGCATGGGTTTTGCAAACCAAGGTGCGGGTGGGTGGGTGGGATGATTGCGCGAGCGGTGGGGTTGACAACTCAGTGCGAACAGAAAGACACTGCACCACATAGATTGCACCACGTCCATTCCAGCGCATAGATTGCACCGCTTCGATTGCACAACATAGTGTGTACTACATATATTATTCAATATAGTTTGCACAACCCATACTGCACAACATGGATTCTCCGTTCTTAGAATTATAGCCGGAGTGCAGTATCCCCAAACAGGGTTTTTAGACCCAGTGCGGTTTCCAAGGTCGATTGCGTGCCCGTCCAGTGCGGGCTGGCATGGCATGTTAAAGCATGCCTCCTCCTTCTCCTCCTCCTCCTCCTCCTCCTCATCTTCCTCCTTCTCCACCTCCTCTTCATCCCGAACGGCATCTCGGAGCCCAGAGTTGCGAGCATGTCTCCAGCGTAACGGGCTGGACCACCTCGCGCGCGGCATTTCGGACCCCAGAGTTGCGACGATGTCTCGGGCGAAACGTGCTGCGAGGAAGTCTCAGGCGAAACGGGCCGGACCACCTCGAGCGCGGCGTCTCAGAGCTCCGAGTTGCGGGGGCCTCTTGGGGCCTCCTGGGACCTCCTGGTGACCTCCTGGGGCTTCCTCCTGGGCCTCCTGTGGCCTCCTGGACCCCACCTGGGGCTTCCTGAAGCCTCTTGGGGCTCCCAGGGGGGGGATATCTAACATGTGGCCGTCGGGCCCCCCCAAAATGGGTGGGCACAAGAGCGTAAAAAAACAAACAAATCGACACCAGATGTGTATTAACTTGACACGTTCTGTTAGGGGGCCTCCTGGGGCCTCCTGGAAGCCTCCTGGAAATCTCCTGCGGACCCCTGGGGCCTGTCCTGGACGTCCTGCGGCCTCCTGAAGCTCTCTGGGGCCTCCTGGGGCTCCCAGGGTCCAAGAGGGGACATGTAACATGTGGTCTTCTGGACCCCCAGGCTGGACCACCTCTTGCGCAGCATCTGAGAGCTCAGAGTTGCGAGAATGTCTTGTGCGAAACGGGCTGGACCACCTTGCGCACGGCATCTCAGAGCTCAGAGTTGCGAGGATGTCTCAGGCGAGATGGGCCCGACCACCTCGCGCAGGGCATCTCGGAGCCCAGAGTTGCGAGGATGTCCAGCGAAACGGGCTGGACCACCTCGCGCGCGGCATCTCGGACCCCAGAGTTGCGACGATGTCTCGGGCGAAACGTGCTGCGAGGAAGTCTCAGGCGAAACGGGCCGGACCACCTCGAGCGCGGCGTCTCAGAGCTCCGAGTTGCGGGGGCCTCTTGGGGCCTCCTGGGACCTCCTGGTGACCTCCTGGGGCTTCCTCATGGGCCTCCTGTGGCCTCTTGGACCCCACCTGGGGCTTCCTGAAGCCTCTTGGGGCTCCCAGGGGGGGATATTTAACATGTGGCCGTCGGGGTCCCCCAAAAATGGGCCACAAGAGCGTAAAAAAACAAACGAATCGACACTGGATGTGTATTATCTTGACACGTTCTGATAAGAGGGCCTCATGGGGCCTCCTGGGAGCCTCCTGGGAATCTCCTGCGGACCCCTGGGGCCTGTCCTGGGCGTCCTGCGGCTTCCTGAAGCTCTCTGGGGCTCCCAGGGTCCCAGGGGGGATATGTAACATGTGGTCTTCTAGGCCCCCAGGCTGGACCACCTCTTGCGCGGCATCTGGGAGCTCAGAGTTGCGAGAATGTCTTGTGCGAAACGGGCCGGACCAACTTGCGCAAGGCATCTCAGAGCTCAGAGTTGCAAGGATGTCTCAGGCGAGACGGGCGGGTGTCTCGGGCGAAACGTGCTGCGAGGAAGTCTCAGGCGAAACCTGCCGGACCACCTCGAGCGCGGCGTCTCAGAGCTCCGAGTTGCGGGGGCCTCGTGGGGCCTCCTGGGGACCTCCTGGGGCTTCCTCCTGGGCTTCCTGTGGCCTCCTGGACCCCACCTGGGGCTTCCTGAAGCCTCTTGGGGCTTCCAGGGGGGGCACAAGAGCAGGAAAAATCAACGAATCGATACCGGATGTGTATTAACTTGACACGTTCTGATAGGGGGCCTCCTGGGGCCTCCTGGGAGCCTCCTGGGAATCTCCTGGGGACCCCTGGGGCCTGTCCTGGGCGTCCTGCGGCCTCCTGGAGCTCTCTGGGGCCTCCTGGGGCTCCCAGGGGGGATATGTAACATGTGGTCTTCTGGGCCCCCAGGCTGGACCACCTCTTGCGCGGCATCTGGGAGCTCAGAGTTGCGAGAATGTCTTGTGCGAAACAGGCCAGACCACCTTGCGCACGGCATCTCAGAGCTCAGAGTTTCGAGGATGTCTCAGGCGAGACGGGCCGGACCACCTCGCGCAGGGCATCTCAGAGCTCAGAAGTTCGAGGATGTCTCAGGCGGGCTCCCAGGGTCCCAGGGAGGATATGTAACATGTGGTCTTCTGGGCCCCCAGGCTGGACCACCTGTTGCGCGGCATCTGGGAGCTCAGAGTTGAGAGAATGTCTTGTGCGAAACAGGCCGGACCACCTTGCGCGCGGCATCTCAGAGCTCAGGGACCACCTCTTGCAGTGCATCTCAGAGCTCAGAAGTTCGAGGATGTCTCAGGCGAAACGGGCCGGACCATCTCTCGCGCGGCATCTCCGAGGTCAGAGTTTCGAGGATGTCTCAGGCGAAACGGGCCGGACCACCTCGCGCAGGGCATCTCAGAGCTCAGAGTTTCGAGGATGTCTCAGGCGAAACGGCCCGGACCACCTCTCGCACGGCACCTCGGGGCTCAGAGTTTCGAGGATGTCTCAAGCGAAACGGCCCGGACCACCTCTCGCGCGGCGTCCCGGAGCACAACTGTTCGAGGATGTCTCAGGCGAAACGGCCAATCCTGGCCAACTCAGAAACGAGAGTTGTGAGGATGTCTCAAGCGAAACGGCCCGGACCATCAAATTGTTGTGAGGATGTCTCTGCTCCGACTTCCCTCGGTCGGAGTTAGCTTCTATCACAACAGCACCCCGTTCAGCAAGCTGTTTGGGAAAAAAGATAGGTTCTCCCACCCTCCCACCCGACTTAAAGACCCCCCAATTCGTATTGCAATTTACATATGATTCGGCCCCATCGTCCATCCGAATTGTATCGAATTGTGAATTCATACGATCCCAGCCGAACGGTATCGCCCCCCCCTTCGGTTCCCTTGCAATGAGTGTTACGCGCGCACTCGTCTATCAAAAGTCATAAGGTTTCCAGAGTCCCTTACAAAAGTGGGAGGAAGCGCGCACGCGCGCATCGTCGCGCACGCATGCCGGAATCCTTCAAGAACTTTCGGCTTCGGGATTTCCAAATCGAGGGTTCAAAACACATGCCAAAAAAAGGTTTCGCAACACAGCTTTTCAAAAAGAAAGCTGGCGCGCGATCTTGCGAATTCTTAAGAGAACCATCGGTCTTTCAACATTTTCAGAAAATGCTCCCAAACGGGCTTCGCGCGCGCATGTTGAAATCGTTCGAACGCCCCTGCGCGCGTCTGGGGGGGGCACGATCCGTGTCACAGAACACCATGCGGGCCAGTCTCGCGCGTCGGCTGCTCGCGCATGTCGAATTTCTTCCAAAATCTTCAGCACCGGCGCGACGACGCCGTCATCGTCGTCGGCGTGGTCAGCATCGGCGCCGTCACTGGCCGTGCCGTCGCCGCTGTCATCATCGTCACCTGCATCGCTACTACCATCTTCGTGTCTACCGTTGTCGACGTGGCCATGATACCGCGCCCGCCCAAGCCGCCGACTTGCACTGAAGTGCCCGCTGGGATGTGCCGAGCGGTCAGCGCCACCGCGGCCGCGTCAGTCGCGCCAAACTAGCTGGCCGCTGCGCGCTCAAGCATCCGCGGGCAAGCGCGGCCGCGTAGATGCACCAACCAACTTTAAGCATTCATCACAATCGCTGCCGCATGGGTTTGCAAACCAAGTTGCGGGCGGGTGGGTGGGATGTTTACGCGAGCAGTGGAGTGGACAACTCATTGCGAACCAAAATTCGTTGCCTCACATAGATTGCACACCATGGGTTGTACAACCTATAGTACACAACATGCATTGCACCGCGTAGATTGCACCACATAGGTTGCACAGCGCATATTGCGCAATCTATATATATATATATATGTATATATATATATATATAGGTGCACGGCTAGGAACACATTGTTTGGGCTCCACGTCTGCTAACATTCAAAGGACATGAAAGGGGAAGAAGGTAGTGGGGAGGCCTGATAGAGGAAAGGGCAAAAAGGGAATCTGATGTGAAAAGAGGGGGGAGCGGGGAGGCGAGGGGAGGCGGACGAGCTCTTGCAGAGCAGTGTGAAGGATATGTTTTGGCACGGCAGGGGGCAAACGTTCTCTTCTTCCATTTCCTTTGGTGTTTTTTTCCTCCTATCCTCTTCGTCCTCGTCCTCTTCCTCTCCTCATCCTGCTGCTGCTCCTCCTCCTTCTCCTCCTTCTCCTCCTACTCCTCCTCCTCCTAAATCCCTCTTCCTTATGGCCTGGCGTTTCAACGAAAATGTCCTCGCACCCTATGGCCCTGAACAAAGGTCCAATAGTTACACAAATGGAGGGCAGGTGGTTGTCATCATGTTGCTACCGCTTTAACGCAACGCTCATTTCTTTCGAACGCTTGCAACAGTTGCACGTGTGACGGGCAGGCCGTTTCCAACATGTGGCTTCCGCCTCAGCGTCGCGCGCACTCGTGCCAAACACTTGCAACACATACTTACACGGATGCCTGTGGCCTAGTTTTCAAGACGTGGCTCTCTCCTCAGACGTTGCGCTCACCCGTTTTGCAAGTTTGCAGAAGCTACTCGAATGGAGTGTGCTTTTTTGTTCAAAAGGGGTTCTCGCTTTCCGCTGCCAGTTTCGCTCAAGTCCACGCCCTGTTTTTGTTGCTTCTCGATGCCGCACGATCGGATTCGAGGGCACCCGGGTCGTCTCGACAGAGAGCCGCAGCCGTACCCCATTCGCATGCCTCCCTGTGCCCGAGGTGTTGCCCAGCTGTCCGTAAGTGTCCTGTTGGTCGGCTTCCGTGCCGCTGTTGTGAAGTGCTGTGGCGAGGCGTTCGCCTGCACCACGGGTCTCGGCGGCACCTTTTGGGTAAGGCCTCCGCCGCTGATCGCCCGCGGGGGCGCGCGCCTCGCACAGCTTGCCAGACCCGATTCAGTCTCTGAGGACGACGCGCGCCGCTTCTCGGAGGCCGGTTACGATGTCCGGTCCGCGGTGTTCGGGACCGTGCCGCCGGAGAGCACCGCGGACCTCTTCGAGATGGTCCGCGACGTCACCCAGCTGCCCGATTTGGAGCGGTTCCTCGAGAACGGGACGTTCGTCGACCTGGGCAGCGGGGAGGGGGAGCTCGTGGTGAACGCCTTGCGCGAGCACCCCGGCCTTGGCCGCGCCGTCGGCGTCGAGCTCTGCGGCGAGAGGCACCTGGCCGCCGAGGCGCGCGCTGCGGCGCTGCCCGAGGGCCTCCGTGCCCGGGCGCGGTTCCTCGAAGGGGACATTTGCGACGAGGCACACGACCAGATCAGGGAGAGCATCGCGTCGGCTCGGATCGTCTTCATCGGCAGCCTCATGTTCGATGCGGGGCTGGTGGAGCGCCTGAGCTCTGTCCTGCGTCGCCTGGTGGCCGCCCGGGGCATGGCGGCAGTGGTGGTGTCTTTTGGTAAGCAGCTGGACTTGCAGGACAGACCGAGCGCGATGCGATCGGGACTCTTGCGGGGCAGCTGGGGCTTGGCGCCTGTGTATGCCTACGGGCTGCTGCCAGGCAGTAGGTGATCAGGATTTTTCTCGATGTGGTGCCACAGTTTTTCTCAGGGCACTGATTTCAAGCAGTAGGGCACTCCTGCGGCTGATCAATGCAAATAAACCGAATTTTCATACAGCGCCAACACTGACACAACCGCAGCAGTCATGCGAAGAATCCGCGTTGCCACCAAAAAGATGGACGTTCGCTTGAGACCTTCTGGTCTGACTAAGTGCCTGAGACTGGGTGCTCTCGAACACTGCACACGGATGGAGGGCACCTTTTTTTTCAAATTTGGTCCCTCGACCAAGACTTCGTTTCAGATTGTATGGCAAGGTGCTAAAAAAATAATACGTGTTTCGTCGAGCGGCCCCCACCCAGGAACGCGAGGCGGGATACCCAGGAAGCACCAGGCTCCTTAGGGCGTGGCGGCCGCGGCATGCAGTCGTCATTCGTGGAAGATGCGAGGCGGAATACACAGGCAGACCACTTTGGGCCTGGCGGCCGCTGTATGAAAGGTGTGCGAGGCGGGTTGGATTTTTTCTTTCATTCTGACAAGCCCAACTTGTCGGGGGGGGGGGGGGGGGGGCGACATTTGCGCGAACGGACGGCGGCTCTTTTTCAAACGGAGGCCTCGCTTGGCACCCTATTTGAGCTGTATGAAAAAGAGCGCGCTTGTGGCGCACTTCTCACTAAATGGGGGGCCACAGCTTGAAGCTACCCCCTCCCCTCCCTTGGGAAAGAGGGGGGGCTTCCGAAGCTCCCCCCCCTCCCCCTCTTTTTGTTGACATTTCGCAGCCAGAGGAGCCCTAGCTAAAGCAACTAAAGCAACTGCATGCCTCTGCATCTTCCGCATCCGTTTTGGCTCGAGCGGGCTTGACTCGCGTTCGCGGGGCGCGGTGGAGGCAAGAGCAGACATCGGCGGCGCGCCCAAGAGGGAATTCGGCAGCAAATCATGGGAGCCTGCTATACCCTCTCAAATCCGTCTTTCGCGTCGATTAGCGTCGATTCGCGTCTGGGAGTCGATGTGGTAGCGCCGACTTAGCGTCGGCTAGCGTCGATTGAGGGTTGATCAGGGTCGATTTTTGCGTCGAGTAGCGTCGACGACAAGATGGTATGGGAGGCTCCCATGAGTTGCCACCGAGGCAGAGGGGGCCCAAAGGGGGAAGGCTCAAAAGGCGTCTCCAGTCTTGAGAAGCTCCTTCTTAGCCTCCTCAAGAGCTGCAGAGAGGGCATCCGAGAAGGCCGGAGGGCTCCCCCCCCTCCTTCTCCTCATCCTCCTCCTCCTCCTCTTCCTCCTCCTCATCCTCATCCTCATCCTCACTCTCCTCCTCCCCCTCCTCCTTCTCCTCATCCTCCTTCTCCTCGAAACTCCTCCTCCCCCCCCTCCCCTCCGGTGAAGCTTCGCCGCCTTCTGAGAAGGCCCGCACCCTCTCACTTGTGCCCTCTCGGCGCGCAGCCGAGAGAATAGCTATGTCGGTGGCATGGTGCCGAAGAAGGCGGGCCGGAAGGGCCAGGAGCCAGTCACCAGGGACTACACGATCCACATGCACAAGCTGCTGCACAAGGTCCAGTTCAAGAAGCGTGCCACGAGGGCCATCTGCGAGATCCGGTAGTTTGCTGCCAGGTCGATGTCGACGAAGGACGTGCGTATCGACACGAAGTTGAACAAGTTCGTGTGGAACAATGGCATCTCGAACATCCCGAAGCGCATTAGGGTGCGCATGGCCTGCAAACGACATGAGGACGATGATGCTACTGACAAGACTTTCACGCTGCTCCAGCATGTACCTGTGGAGAGTTTCAAGAACCTTCAGACGGAGACAGTCCGCGATGATTGAGCCGAGATTGCTTCAGCTCCCTCCCGTTCCCAGCCTCTCTCTCTTTCTCTGTCTACCGCGTCCGCCCTGTTGAGAGCACGGTGGCCTGGCGCCGACCACGACGACACAACATTAGCCTGGCGAAGGACCCAACCATATGCAGTTCTGAGTACCGCAGTTGTGGGTATCGTCTTCGGTGGAGCTCCCTATGGGCTACGAAACGCTGCACTGGATGGGGTAGACTCATGCGAACTTTGCCACTGGGGCCTTCGGTGGAGCCCCCTATGGGGCCACGAAGCGTTGTGCTGGGTGGGTGCTACACATGCGAACTGTGTGCTGGGTGGGGAACGGCATGGGAACTTTGCCATTCGGGCTTTCGGTGGAGCCCCCTATGGGGCCTCGAAGCGCTGTACTTGGTGGGGGGGCCACTGGAGACTTCGGTGGAGCTCCCTATGGGGTCACGAAGCGCTGTACTGGGAGGGGGAGACGCATGTGGACAGTGCAGTTGAGGCCTTCCGTGGAGCTCCCTATGGGGCCACGAAACGCTGTACTGGGAGGGGGAGCCGCATGCGGACGGTTTCACTGGGGCCTTCGGTGGAGCCCCCTATGGGGCCACGAAGCGCTGTACTGGGTGGGGGAGACGCATGCGGGCGGTAGCACGGGGGCCGTCGGTGGAGCTCCGTATGGGGCCACGAATCGTTGTATTGGGCGCGGGAGGCGCATGCGGAAAGTGCCACTGGTGCCTTCGGTGGAGCCCCCTATTGGGCCAGGAAGCGTTGTATTGGGTGGGGAGACGCATGACAACGGTCCTAATGGCGCCGTCGGTGGAGCTCCCTATGGGGTTACAAAGTGCTGTACCGGGTGATGGGACGCATGCGGGCGGTAGCGCTGGGACCTTCGGTGGAGCTCCCTATGGGGCCACGAATCGCTGTACTGGGTGGGGGAACGCATGCTGGCGGTAGCAGTGGGACCTTCGGTGGAGCCCCCTGTCCGGGGCCACGAAATGCTGCACTGGGTGAGGGGGGGGGCGCATGCGGGCGGTAGCACTGGGGCCGTCGGGGCCTCGAAGCGCTGTGGTGCCCCGCATGGGGCCACGAAGCGTTGTGGTGAGTGTGGGAGGGGGCGCACGCGGGCGGTAACACTGGGACCTTCGGTGGAGCTCACCATGGGGCCACGAAGCGCTCTGCTGGGTGGGGGGGGGCGCATGCGGACGGCAGCAATGGGACCTTCGGTGGGGCTTCCCATTAGGCCACGAAACCCTCTTCTCGGCGTGGGGGACGCACGCGGGCTGTAGAACTGGCACCTTCGGTGGCGTCCCCTATGGGGCCACGAAGGGCTTCACTGGGTGGGGGGGCGCATGCGGGCGGTAGCTCTGGGTTCGTCGGTGGGGCTCCCTATGGGGCCACGAAGCGCTGTACTTGGTGGGGGGACGCATGCGGGCGGTATCATTCGGACTTTCGGTTGAGATCCATACGGGGCCACGAGGCGCTGCACTGGGTGGGAGTGACGCATGCAGGCGGTAGCGCTTAGCATTCGGTGGAGCTCCCTATGGGGCCACGGAACGTTGCATTGGGCGGGGGGGGTGCGCATGCGGGCGGGCACTAACACTGGGGCCGTCGGTGGAGTTCCCTAGGGGGCCTCGAGTGCTGGGTGGGGGTGGCGCATGCGGGCGGTAGCAGTGGCGTCGTCGGTGGGGCTCCCTATGGGGCCACGAAACGCTTTGCTGGGCGGGGACCCTCTGTGGAGCTCCCCATGGGGCCACGAAGTGCTGTGCTGGGTGAGGGAGACGCATGCGGGCGGTAGCACTGGGACTTTCGGTGGAGCTCCCTATGGGGCCACGAAGTGCTGTGCTGGGTGGGGGAACGCATGCGGGCGGTAACACTGGGTCCGTCGGTAGAGCGCCCTATGGGGCCACGAAGCGCTATACTGAGGTGGGGTGGCGAATGCGGGCGGTAGCACTATGACCGGGGGCCACGGAGCGCTGTGCTGGGTGGGGGAGATGCACGCGGGCGGTAGCATTGGGACCTTCGGTGGAGCTCCATGTGGGGCCACGAAACGCGCGAGGGGTGCAAAGGATGGGAGGAGCGGGAGGAATGGGAGGAGGAGGAGAGGGAGGGAGGAGGCGGGAACGCGGGGCGCTTTGTTTTCAAAAGGAGGACTCAACACCGCAGGATGGTTGGGAAAAACTATACGCATGCATCGTGACGGCTCTCATAGTCAGAGGCATGGTGCGAGGCAGTTCCTTTTCAAAGCGGGGCTCGCGCTTGAAAGGGGCGCACTTTGGGCGCTCGCCAATCCAAGCGACGCTCCACTAAGCGTACAGGGGCACCACGGAGACGCCGCAGTGAATTGGAGCACAGGAGGATTAGCAGGGAGTTGCGAGGAGGTGCTGGGACGGGAGGTTGCATCGTCGCTGATGCATCCTGGGTCTGTTCTGGTCCTCTGCGTCCCTTTTTGATTTCTCCCCATCGGGCTCCGGGCGGCCGAAGTGGCCGTGGCTCCATGGGGTTGATTAGCGAGGCCCCGGGAGGTCCCCGCGATGCCCCAGGACCCCCCCGGAGGCCCCAAGGAGGCCCCTCCTCCTTTTCATTCGGCTCTTCCCTTCACCGGACTGACGCGACGGCTGGCAGCGCCGCGTTGCTGGACAGATAGCCAGCAGAGAGGGCGACTATCTATCTATATATATATATATACACATACATACATATATGTGTATATATGTATGTATGTATACATGCGCACGTGCAAGGGCGGCCCCATCAGACAGGCGGCCAGCGGCAACCGTCGGACATCGAGCTCCGCACTTCCGGGCAAGGGGCCGACGGGTAGAGACAGGTGGGCTAGTTCAAGGGGGCAATTCAATTTCCCCCAGCGCAGTCACTACAGAGAGCAATCATTTGTCAATAATCCGTTGCGTCTCATGGGACGAACTCCACGCGCGCGGCGTCTCGCGCGCATGCCGCAATTTTCATGCATCTGAAAAGCCGCGCGGGGTTTGAATGGTCTCGCAACGGGCTATGTCAAAGAAAGTCTGCGCGCGCTTCCTTGCGAATTTTCGGGAAAGCAATGATATTCAACGTGTCCATTGAATTCGGCCAAGCGGGCCTTTCGCGCGCGCGCGTGTCGAGATAATTTCGAACATCCTTGCGCGCTTCCTGGGCGCCACGATCCTTGTGACATGATGCCACGTTGTCCGCTCGCGCCCGTCGGCCGCGCGCTCGTCGAAAGCCCCCCAAAACTCTCACCGCTGACACGTGGGCACAATCATTTTCGCTGGAATGATCAGCATCGGCGCCGTCATTGGCCCTGCCGTCGTCATCGTCGACAACGTTGCCATCGTCGCCAGCATCGCTACTACCATTATCGCGCATGTTGTCGTCGACGTCGCCACGATACCACGCCCGCCCGAGACACCGACTAACACTGAAGCGCCCGCGCGTCGGCG